GAGTAGTCAATGGTACACTATCAACTGTGACCATGAGAGAACCCATCCTAGTACTGATTAGTAACTATAGGACACTTTACATTACTGAGAGGAGTCAATGGTGGTACACAATCAACTGTGACCATGAGAAAACACGTCCTAGTACTGATTAATAACTATAGGACACTTTACATTACTGAGAGTAGTCAATGGTGGTACACTATCAACCGTGACCATGAGAGAACACATCTTAGTACTGATTTATAACAATAGGACCTTTTACGTTACTAAGAGTAGTCAATGGTACGCTATCAACTGTGACCATGAAAGAACACATCTTAGTACTGATTAATAACTATAGGACCGTTTACGTTACTGAGAGTAGTCAATGGTACGCTATCAACTGTGACCATGAAAGAACACATCTTAGTACTGATTAATAACTATAGGACCGTTTACGTTACTGATAGTAGTTAATGGTACACTATCAACCGTGACCATGAGAGAACACATCTTAGTACTGATTTATAACAATAGGACCTTTTACGTTACTAAGAGTAGTCAATGGTACGCTATCAACTGTGACCATGAAAGAACACATCTTAGTACTGATTAATAACTATAGGACCGTTTACGTTACTGAGAGTAGTCAATGGTACACTATCAACTGTGACCATGAGAGAACCCATCCTAGTACTGATTAGTAACTATAGGACACTTTACATTACTGAGAGGAGTCAATGGTGGTACACAATCAACTGTGACCATGAGAGAACACGTCCTAGAACTGATTAATAACTATAGGACCGTTTACGTTACTGAGAGTAGTCAATGGTACACTATCAACTGTGACCATGAGAGAACCCATCCTAGTACTGATTAGTAACTATAGGACACTTTACATTACTGAGAGTAGTAAATGGTACGCTATCAACTGTGACCATGAGCGAACACATCCTAGTACTGATTAATAACTATAGGACCGTTTACGTTACTGAGAGTAGTTAATGGTACACTATCAACCGTGACCATGAGAGAACACATCTTAGTACTGATTAGTAACTATAGGACCATTTACGTTACTGAGAGCAGTCAATGGTACGCTATGAACTGTGACCATGAGAGAACACATCTTAGTACTGATTTATAACAATAGGACCTTTTACGTTACTAAGAGTAGTCAATGGTACGCTATCAACTGTGACCATGAAAGAACACATCTTAGTACTGATTTATAACAATAGGACCCTTTACGTTAGTAAAACAAGAGACCTATAGGGTCTGTATAGCTCATCTGTTTATATAAAAAAATAATGATAATAATAATTATAGGACCCTATACGTAACTAAAACAAGCTCATCTCTTTTAAAGAAATGACAGAAATCATAGGACCCTTTGCTTAAGAAAAACAAGAGACCCATAGGGCCGGGCCGGTAAACCTCATCTGTTTATATAAAGAAATAAAAAATAAATTATAGGACCCTCTTCGTAAATTAAGCAAGGGACACATAGGGTCTGTATAGCTCATCTGTTTCTTTTGATACTCGAATTAAACAAAGATTTAAAGGTTTACAACTGGTACATAATGGGAATTCACCGATTTTTTAGACCATATTATGAAGTTAAGTGGACAATGTTTACATCAACTTTATTCAGCAGGACATCAACAAAAGAAAAGTAACAGGGGTTACCGAAGATTTAAAAGCAAAAGAATTAACTTAGATGAAAATGATCATTGCAAGATATAAAAAAAAAAAAAAAAATCAAAAAAATTGTGAAATTCTTTTGAAATATCACTTACACAGCACACACAAGTTACATGCAAGCCTTTGAAGGTTGCCCAGGATATTAAGACTGTTTTAAGGATCCCTGTTCCAATGCACTATCGTTTTTCGTATATACAGTAACCTTCCCCTAATTTCGTTCTAGATATACCTGTAGCAGTACAGCTTGGCCACCACACTTATGCTGACTACATGTAGGTAGCCCAGCCCAGCTGAATTTTTACAATCAGGACACTGTTTGCTGATTATGTTTTGTTTATTTCATCTTAAACATTTTTCATAAAAGTCCAGCAAGGACCTTTTTTCCAGAAATGATTGATCAAAGCTGTAGTCATGCCGGAAAAAAATGGATCCTGACGCATAGCTACAGTTTTTGACAGTGGTACAGGGATCCTTAATTTTTCAATTCCTTTTTTTTTCTTTTACACAAACTGAACTTTGTAATAAGAATGACATTAACTTAATCATAAATTTCTAATATTTTTGTTTGGTTTGAAATTTGGTGATTAGCAAAATCTACATTCATAATGATGAATTTTGTTATAACAATAATTTTCAAAAAATTGAATAACAAAAATGTTTCAGCTTAGTGTATTATAATTTGAATCTGTTTCCGTAAAATGTAGTTTCACCATGTTACAAGGACTACAATAGGAGCCAGTGAAGCAGCGCCCTGTTGAGGTGCCACCAACCTGCTAACACTCTCACTGCCCATAAAACACTGACATTAATGATAGGCCCCTACACACACACTCAGGGGGTCACCATTTATTTTACAAGTAAAAATGGATCTGGAAAGTATGAATGGCATATATATAGTATTTTACAATAGAGTCATAATTGTGTGAAGAGTTATCATTCTTGGATGATAATCAGCATCATGAACACCAGGTGGACTTGCTCAGTGCCATAGTGTAATCTCTCACATCACAATGTTAAATTGTATATTTTTTCTGACTCTTTTACACAAATAAGTATAAATGCCCCGCTGGGTTTGTCACATTGTGCAGATGACTGGTGTTTTAGGATGACAGAAAGCTTAAGCCTATACAGGTTTATTGAGATCACATGCACTTTAACTCACTACACTGATGTACTGTAGTGGGAAAGTTGTCAGATCTCCTTTGGTTTTTGTTCAATCCTACGGATAAACAAAGATATGTAGTGTACTCGGGAATGCTAGATCTCTCAGACTTACAGTCCCACACAGTTATTCCTATATCTTATGTTTTATAGGCGATCCTTGTCTACAGATACGAGTTTTACAACGGACTGTGATAATCCTACATTGTCTAGCTATCAGGCTAGATCACAGACTAGTAGATACTGTTATTAAAACCTACAAGAATTCTCAGTATCTAATGACAGATCACGAAAACAATCACAAGACCTGGCAGATTTATACTGTTGTTTTGTTGATCTTTAAATTGGCAAAATTTTAGAATTGTCAAAATAGTTTTAAAAAAATATGGTTGATTTTTTTCCCCCCAACAAACAAGACATGTGTATCAACATCTAGATATAGTTTCTTGTAGAGTATTAACAGAGCTCATTTCTAGTATATTACTTTTGTACTTGTAGCATGTTAAGAAATACTGTATTCTTTCAGCATTCAGGAATTTAGTACTAACATTAAAAAGTGTCTGTTAATGTAATACCTTCAGTAATCAAAATACTGTTGGCAATCCATGTACGCACACATACGTATATTCAGCAAAAAATGGAAAACATCTAGAGCTAACCCCTCCCTTGCAAACTAACTCTAAATTGGTGAAAATAGGACAGTAGAATACCTAACAAGTGACAACCTATTCATTAAAATCATTCAATTAATAATTTGAGGTTCTTATAAACCGCTTTATCACAACCTAGTTAGTAGGTCGTCTCAAAGCGGTTCACTAATTATTATCCGTGGTTATAGGGCCTTTGCAACCAGCCAATATCTTTCTCAACTCCCTGGGGAGCATACAGCCGGAGCTGCCTTTTCGGCGCTCACAGCTAGCATTCAATAATTCCGGCACTACCCAACCACATACTCATTTACAGCTGAGTAGACTGGAACAGGGGAGTAAATATCTTGTTCAAAGATACAGCACAGTGCTGTGACTTGACTCGAACCCGCAACCCTTTGGTTACGAGCCCGGCGTCCTACCACTAGACTACCGTGCCTCACAACCCTTCGGTTACGAGCCCGGCATCCTACCACTAGACTATACTAGCTACCATGCCTTCAAGCACAAAAGTTTGTGGTGGCCCCACCAATGACTGGTCTGAAACTTAAACATTATTTTTCTGTCATCCTGTAAAAACTCACAAAAATTCTTATCAATAAGCCTTTTCATTATGCCACTGCTGTCACAAGTTCAGAGGGAAAGGGCTGCTGGCATGCTCCATGCAGCAGCGCTGCAACATAAAGCTCTATGCTGTTTGCAGTCTGTAGACAATAAACCTTTTGTTGAATCGGGTTGACATCTGACTGTCCACAAAAACCTGTAGCCCTAACAAAATAACTGCTCAAGCCACTTTATACTTCTGTTGCATCTGGGTTAGTGCATTGTTTCTGCGAGTGAGACAGCGAGAACATTGCTTGAGCATCATATACCTACCCAAATTATCTGAAACTGCTTCAAATGAGCCCTATCAAAAGCTCAAGGCCCCTACTGATCCTATCTTGACACAACGTCACTGTAAAAAACGCTTTAATAGGACCTATACACACTGTCGCTGGGTGTTACATCCATGGAACAGTATCCTTTTTATGAATGACTCCAGATTATGTTCGACATTTGGTGATGGCAGGCGTAGAGTTGGGAGACACCTGGGTGAACATTGTGATATGCTGTCGTTGATCAGAACTATTTTGGTAGCAGTAGTGTGATAGTCTGGGGTGAAATATGTATTGGTCACTGTACCAGACTTCTAATGCCAGGGAATTTGAATCGGGTGCGTTATATAGTGACATAACTTTGAGGGCGGTGGCACTCTCGTTTTTACAACATCATGGCACTGTTGCTATTTTCAACAAAATAATGTGCCAGCCCCAGGGCCCCTAGCTACCAGTTGTATAAGCAGAACTTTTCTGAAGTTTAACAATGTTCACTGTTGGATTTGCATCTAAATCACCCGACATGTCACCCATAGAGCGTGTCTGGTATTCCTTTGGTTAACCAAATGAATCTCTACTTGGAACTACTCTGTTGATACATTGGACTACATATAATACGGTGTTGACTTACATGTATTTCCTCTTTGTAGTCACTTCCTCCTGTTTACAGGAACATGCGCAGCACATCTTACTGTCAGCACAACTCTCTTGCTCACCACCAGGGGGCGATGTCTCATACGCTATGTTCAGATGACTTCGTCTAGCTTTCGTCTGAAACATATAGATATACACTTTATATTACTGATACTGATAGTCTATATATATATCGCTAGTAAGACAAAATATAGATGTATAGCATCTTGTGATACAAAACATATACATACATATGGCATCTCATATACAACTAGCCAGACTAACATATATTAAAACACCTATTTAGAGTTAAGACTAAACATAAATGCACAGCAACTACTGAACTATTAAAATTCAACATACATGCACAGCAACTAGTAAGACTAAACACATATGTACAGCAACTAGTAAAGTCAAACATATATATTCACACCTTGTAAGACTAATCTTTATCAAAGACAAAATCTCCATTGAAAATGTGCAAAGAAGGGCTACAAAACGGATCAAAAATACATCAAATCTACCAAACGATGAAAGGCTACTAAAACTGGGACTGCCTACACTCGAATATAGAAGGGAAAGAGCCGACCTAGTCGAAATCTATAAGATCCTAAATAATATCGACCAAGTAGACCATGAACATATGTTTAAACTGGCATCAAATATGGGGACCAGGGGGCATCCAAAAAAGCTGTTCAAAAAAACGTTTCGCCTTGAAGTAAACAAAAATGTCTTCAGCAATAGAACAATAACAACATGGAACAGTCTACCGGAAGTGATTGCCACAGCAATGAACCTTAACAGCTTTAAAACATTACTGAACAACCACAACATTACCAACAGGTCCAAATTCTGGGCCTCTTTTTACAATTAGTACCATGGACACCACATGTGTTTTTAAATATGTGAACTTTTACTGATCATTTGGGAGCAAATCAACACGTGCAAACTTTATACAGTACGTGTGTAAATATACGCGTGTTCATATAGAGAGAGAACTGTTTAATCAATATATAATGTGTGAGTAACATGATCTATATACCGCCACAACTCATCAATGTGTAAATAATGGACTTTTATCATTTTATGTGCAACCAGATGAACATTATCAATAAGTAAATGAAATAAAATCAAGACAGCTCCAAAAGCTAAAAAGCTTACAACGATGTATATTACAGCGAAAGATAAACACACATGTACAAAAACATATGACTAAACATATATTACAACACCTTTAAGGATGTACACCTCTGAGAAGTCAAAAATTTCCCGTATTAAACTTTTTTTCTTATATAGATTTTTGGAAAAGGGAGTTAATGGCATAGTAGAAAATGCAAAATAAAATATATGTCCGTGTGTTCGTTTTTGTGTTATGATCGGTCAAAGATACTAATTTAACAAAACATGTGATTTTAGGTGATATTTGGGTTTTGACCATTTGCAGAACAGATTCATACAATTTCTTCCAAGTGTGTTATCAGATATGTATGAATGTTTGTAGAATTGATGAAAATATTATTTTCTTTTGAATTATGGAAGTAAAATTTCTAAATCTTATTCTTTTAACTCAGAAAGCCGATTCAAGTTACCCCTACCCCCTATTTTTTAATGAAAAAATACTCATTTTTTACCATTTTTTGCAGATTAAACGCTTGATATAAAAAGTTCTGGTATTAAACTGTTTTTAATGTTTAATGAATTAAATGAAAATGTGTTTCTCTTTCTAAAACATCTACAAAAATGGGGGGTCAGTGTGCTTCTTTTTTTGTCCCATTATCATTTGTGTTATTTTTTACCTTTTTCGGGGTCAAACATCAAAAGTGCTTCAGTTACACTAAATATGTAAAATAGATATCAATAATGTATAATTTTCCTGTTTGTTGCCTATTATTTTTATCATATTTGTTTGTTTGTTTGATTTTGTTTAACGTCCTATTAACAGCTAAGGTCATTTAAGGACGGCCTCCCCTGTGTGCAGGATGCATGCGTGTAGTATATGCGTGTGTATTTTGGGAGGCTGCGATATGTTCGTGTTTGTCTCCTTGTGATAGCGCGGAACTGATGCCGACTTTATAGTGCTACCTCACTGAAACATACTGCCGAAGACACCCAGCAGGACGCCCCACCCGGTCACATTATACTGACAACGGGCGAACCAGTCGTCCCACTCCTAATTTGCTGAGCGTTAAGCAGGAGTAGAAACTACCATTGTTAAAGACTTTGGTATGTCTCGGCCAGGGGACAGAACCCAAAGCCTTCCTCACAGGGGCGAACGCTCAACAAATGGCCAAAAGTGAGGCATTGTCAAGGGAGACATTAGGAAGAAGAAAGTTATTTAGAAAGGAGAGAAGAGATAAGGTCCCAAATTGAGTTGCCTCTTACGATCATGCAATTGGGGGCAGCAGGTACAATTCTTACGCCCTACCTGCAGGGACAATTTTTATCATATTGAACATTATAAAAATGTACAGCAAAATTGAACCTGCTACAATTAAAAATGGCGACACAATGACAATTTAAGTGATCAATCTAGTGTCAAAAAAGGTGAAATTTTGGCCTTTTTTGAAGTGCAAGAAATACACATTAATACACATTTTCAAAATGGCCGCTGAATTGGTAATTTTTTTAAATTCTTGTAAAAAAAGTTCTACAAACAACAGGCATCTAGTTTTTTGACATATTTTTCAGATGCGTGTTTGCTAATAAACTTGATCATAATTTGTTAAATATTACAAAATTTGAAAAACCCATCACACCAGATCAAAACGAGACTTGAATGTGATTGAAACCTCAGAAGAGTACATCCTTAATATAAGACTAAACATATTTATATAAAGTTGTAAACTTCACACATACAGGAACTAGTAAGTGGAAGCATTTAAAGTCGATATTTATCTTACAATACCAGAAAAACCTTACTTGTGTTATCCTCAGATTTTCTTCTTTTTATAATCACCGATTTCTTCAAAGCAGGAATTTTTATTTTTATCAAAAACTTCAGCTATTTTGAAATGTCATGTTCAAAATTGTATTTGATCAATATTGAGATTCGGGAAGAGTAGACTACACATAAACGTCGAATTTTACACACATACCATCACAAATAGAATCAAAACTTGTGCATCATATACAAAGCAATTCATCATTGGACCATTAATAACACGTTAGGACAAAACGTGTTATCTATAATCTAGATAGCCCACCTTATCTGTGTTTCCAGGTGTCTTAAACTTGCTGGAAGAAGAATCTTTGAAGTCATCATCATCGTCGTTGTCTCCAAGAGAAATCAGCTGTGCGGCAGTCTGGACCACTTCTGATGAACAAAACATGAATTTGATATAAATTCTGTTATAACCCCTGATATATTATGGATTTTTATTTTATAATTTTGGGTATTCCAAGAACAAAAGTATACAATATATTATACGGATAACTGATAGTACCTTCCTTACCCCAACCCCCCGAATGAATTCATGTCAACTAACATAATTCTATAGATCTTTGATCAGACATGTTCTAATACTTAGTGTGTAACTCTTCAAAATTTGATGTTGTAGTTGTTGGTATCGTGATTTAGATACTAGATAAACCAGTAAAATATTTGATAAGGCACATATAACACGGCAAAAATGGTTTGTTAAGTTCAACGAAGCAATATCATGTTTCTAGTTTATAGAACTCTGTTACTCTAAACACGGAAACTTTGGACAATGTATTCTTTTGATATCATTATTAACCCTTTCACCCCTAAGTAACTTTAATAGTAATTTTAATAGACTCTACCATACATTTACATGGATGAGTCCATTATGGTCTACAGTGGTGAAGGGGTTAAGAATCAAATTACTTCTTTAGATTTAGTCATCACTTTTAATTAATATTTCGTTTTATTAGAGGTATTTTTTCAGATTTAAGGGTGTCATTCTTTACTAACATTAAAGATACTGTAAAGTACCCACCCTGTGTTGAAAGCACATCATCGTTGTTTTTGTCAGGATTTAGTTCCTTTGGTTTCTGACATGTACAGGTGATGTTTGCTGCAAAAGTGAGCATAATTTGAAGTATTTCAAATCAAACAAAAAAGTGAACAAAACTTATATTAAGTGACACAATTAAATTGACATGGTATATATATTTCAAGCTAAGCAAAAAACAAACTTGACAACTTCAAGTGAAACAATATACAAAATTTGACATTATAACTTAATACCTAAACTAGACTAGAAGCTGAAATTAGACTGTTTCTAACTATATTTACCACCTGAAGATTTTTACTGAACCAAACAATTACATTAACTCATTCACCCCTGAAATTTCACAATGGACTATTCAAACCTTTGAATTGGAATAGTTCAAAAGTGTCTTCAAGGGTGAACAAATCTGGTTGAAATCTGACCAGTTTTATAACAATTACTGATTGAAAACTAAAGTTTGACAGACACAATTTAATATCCAGTCTTCTCCAAAAATGAAGGTGGTAAAATTTGGTCAGGTAAAATATCTTTGATATGGACGACTTTCCATGTTTTCTCGACCAAAGGTCCTGTAAAGACTCTTGAATTTGGTACACACTGTAACAGTTCTGAAGAGTTCTATAAAGCGCAGGTTTTCTGTAGTAAAAGCCAAAACACTTTTAGTTTGGAGTGCTGCACTACACTGTAGGGATTAACTCATTCACCACTGTAGACACATTTGAAATCCTCCAATTCAAAGGTTGGAATAGTTCATTATGAAATTTCAGGGGTGAAGATTCACCAACATTTTCCTCAAGAGTGACTTAAAATGTCTTTTTCTAGTTATATGATGCCTATTACATGTAACTCTTTTGTTGTAAAACAGGTAATAAATATTAGATATACAGCACAGATATTAAAATGTAAGAGGGTAACAACACACGTTTGAAGTGAGAATATTGGGTAACAACACCCGTTTAAAGTGAGACTATTGGGTAACAACACCCGTTTGAAGTGAGACTATTGGGTAACAACACACGTTTGAAGTGAGAATATTGGGTAACAACACACGTTTGAAGTGAGAATATTGGGTAACAACACCCGTTTGAAGTGAGACTATTGGGTAACAACACATGTTTGAAGTGAGACTATTGGGTAAAAACACACGTTTGAAGTGAGACTATTGGGTAACAACACACGTTTGAAGTGAGACTTACTTGATTCTTCAGATGTCGATGCTGTACTTGCTTCCTCTGCTACTCTTTTCTTTTCTAAATAAACAAATTAAACACAAAATCATCTGGATTGCCAGTTATTACAAATGTTTTAAGAATTACATATGTCTTCAGATGAAACCTCAATAACCTTGTAAACAAACTACTACTGCTCAGGTAATTGCATTTAGAATTAAACCCATAAATAAAAGGTGTGTATACCCTGTAGAGAAAAAAATATACTTTTAAATGACATTTTTCTAGCTGTTCTTCAGATGATATCATCAGATGTCATAAAATGACCGCTTGATGCTTATCCTATAAGTTTGTAAAAAGTTGGCATAAAAATTGATAGGTAGGCACCAAAATCTATGGTACATTATATGTATTACTGTAGAATCATTTATTTTCGTGGGGTTAAAATTTTGTGGTTTTCATATACAAGCCTGTTTTCTTGGGGATTTAATTTCGTGGATTTTTGTGATCCACGTAATAAACGAAATTTAATGTCCCATGAAAATTTACGATTTTACAGTAGCCTAAAATTACCAGATATGGGAGTATCTTTTAGTTTCCAAAGTTGCAGGGCTAAATTTACCATATTCAGCTGTTTGCCAGGCAAGAGCAGAACACAGCAGAGCCAGACTTTTTCCACTACCGGTAGGACTTTCCAATAAACAGTTCTGTTTTCTCTCTATCCCTTTGATCACCTGAAATATATCACTAGATAGTGATAAATCTGCATCATACAATTGAGTTTCTAAAAATATTGAAACTTAACGTGCTAGGATCTATATTTACATAATATTGATCACTGCTCAACAAAAATGATCTGGTGAACACTTTTAATTATGGCATTTAGTGTTGTATTTACATTCTTTTTAAATTGTGAGACATTTGCTATCTTAATCTCAAAAGTAGCAAGTCGCTCTATGTAAAATTAATGAATTCTCAAAAATTAAATGAATAAAACTGAAAAAATGTGAGAATTTGACTCATAATTCACAATGTACGTACTGTATATACCCTTAACATATGTAATACATCTAAGAGGTTCCAATGGCTAAATTATCAAACTTAACCCTTGAGGCGGGCAAGGTTTACCTTTTCTTTGATTTACAGCAGATAATAGGCTGCTTAATTTCCCTAAAAATGAATGTTTTATTTTCCCAAAATGAAGAAAAATTAGGAATATCTTCTCATTTTAAAAAAATATATCACTATATATTTTCCAAAATTCAAGCATACACCGACTGTCATAAAGTTTATGCAGAAAAAAATCACACTGTGAACTGCTAACGATATATGATTTACCTGGTCTGCACAAGTACATATAACTGTAAGGGTTAATTATATTTACCTTTTCCATCATACTGAACTGTGACGGATACGGCTTACAGGGAAATACAACTTGCACCCCGTGTATCATCCTCTTCTCTTCTGTAGCCATGGTGAACAGCTTTTGAATTTGATATATTACACAAAGTAAAGTTTAAGCCTAAAAGGGATATGTTTGCATCTGAAAAATAAATTAATAAATGAAACATTTCAGTTGAAATTTATACCAAATATAAATAATCAAGCAACTTTTTAAACAAGCTTGGAACTTTCAAGCGCGAGTCTGGCAATACACATAATTACTGCTTTGTCCGTTAATCGACGCCAGAACGATATAAAAAAAGGCGATAAAACGCCAGAATAATTCGGACTATAGTTAAATTACTGCTGTGCAGATGCATAAATGTATGCCAATCCCTGCTAAGTCTGTAATATAACTTATTCAAAGTAAAATTGGGCTTAAATAAAGCAAGTCCCTCAAAAATTGCCAAAGTTACGTTCTTTAGACTACATGTTTACACTGGATGAAAAGAACCCCAATAACTGTCATAAAAATCAAAAGGGTTTGACTGAAAAGCTTACATTATTTTGTTTTCATGGTGTTATCTAGCTGTAAGTAGAGAGTTCCCAACCCTAGCATATGGGAGTGTATACGTAAGTGTCACTCATGATCTAGACGGAGCTTGACTGTCAATATCTTAAGCGCCAACATCAAACGAATACGCATCAAAACAACTCCTGCTCACTGTTGTAGATTACTGTTAAATTCAATCATGGTTTCAGTATTAAAAACATCAACAAATCAAATCTATCAGCTGACAGAAAATCCACAAATTGTTTTCAAGCCATCGCGGCCAGCTGTGTACTTTACGTACAGTATACCTCTGTAAGTGTGGAAGAAGTTAACAAAACAATAACTTAAACTGAAAAGTGTGTTTACATTCAGCTTTTCTGTTGAATCACTGGCTTAAAATTCATTATTATGAATTATTGTCTTCGTCAGCTACATTCTGAAACACCCGCCATATACAATAAACTGACTTCCGTTCTAGATGTAAACGTGGCCGTGATTGGTCAAATACGATGAGGCCCTTTGGGAGTACGATCTAAAACGAAAGTAGAAACTAAATACTGACTGAATTTTGGAAAATGAAAACGAAAGTAGAATTTAAATATCATCTATGGTTCTTAAGTAAATATATAATAACTTATATTCAATTGAAGATATTTACAATTAATCAGCCTGTTACACCTCTTCTTCAAACTTTAATTGATATACTTTTTAAAATATCACTAAAAGAGTACAGTTATAATCAACGCAATTAATATTATAATCAGAGACGTACATGCACTTTATTCGTCATAATTAAGGAATATGCAATAATTGCTTATCCAACCGGGGCAGGCTCATTTTCATTTAATTGATTTTAATTTGACGAATCTATAGCATGAGCTGGACTGTCATTATAAACTAGTTAATTCACAAAATGTTCATGTCGCGATCTTAAATTAAGCAATGACATCAATATCTGTCAATTTACGTGATGTAAAGTTTGAAATGTTCATGACATCATTGCTGTATATAATCGTTATATATTAATTAAGGCACTGAATACAGATGATTTATATGGGAAAATAGTGAATAGATTAAATAATGAAATACCATTGTATAGAGTGTGTGCTATAATTGAATCATTCGATCAATCTACATAATTGATTGAGTTGATTAAATAAAAAAAATCAACAGGGAATTATGGCGTATCAAACGATACAATATTCAATAATTTTACATTTATTATTGAATACAAATTTTAAATATTGTACATATATTTACAATTATTGAACACGCTATAGGGAATCTATATAAATATGTAGGGCGTTGTTATAATTATGTAAAAAGTGCCATCATTGTTTAGTTGGTGTGATATAGACGACCTCAAGTACATGTATTTGAATTTTCCCTCAATTTTTCCATATAATAACATTAATTATATACAGTAACCTGAACCATTAACCCGAAATACATGCTATAGAATCGACCAATCTGATTCACGAAATTCGTGATTAATACATTTTAGTTATTGTTCAATGAAATTAATCTTTTTAAAGATAAACTGAACATTTTACTGACCCGTTTCGTTTGAGAGCACACATACATGATAGGACATCACACCCCTTTAAGTGAGAATCAGACGGAGTGACAGTCGGTAAATCTAGTGTTTGTATATAAAGCTAAATCCCGTACTTGTATTTCGAGCCACCGACCCTCTACTTTCAATTTGCCTATATTAGCCGTAACAGTTCGCGCGCAGTCATCTCATGTTTGCCTGCCACTCCACGTCCCGGTTGTCTGTCTACCCAGGTACTCCTAACAGAGTCAAGTGGCCCGCGGATTAGGCCATAAGTGAGAAATGAACGTGTTGTTTATAATATTTTTGTCAACTTTGATCTTGTTAAGGTGCTCCATACACTATCAAAATAAATGAGTTTGTTTGTCCAGGAGGACGGTAGGTGTAGGTAAGAGTGTATGAGAGGGTTTGGGCGACACACCTACCTGGGATACACCTGGCAGACATTACCACATCTTACCTGTCTGTGTACTTTCGTTTCTTACTTGTCTATATACACACCCTACCTGTCTGCATTCACATTACTTTATGAGTTTGTGGTAAGTGTTTGTATGTATAAGGATCATGATGGGAAAACTGGACCAGAATTTATTAACCAAACGGATAACGGATGTCTGATGTCTTCACTAGTGCAATATCTGTACATCAGGTCTAACTACCCTTACGTCATCACATTTGTAGCCGACCTACCTCTAATAATCAGGAAGTGGTTAATAAAGCACAATACACTAATACTGAAAGTCATATTGGGCATTTTCTCTTTAGGAAACATCAATAATACTTTAGGTTAAAAATGTGAAAATCTATGTAAACTGTTTCAAAACACATAGTAATACAAAAAGGTGCCTATAAAACCCTTTATAGAGTTACTTATTTACAAGGCTACAACAGATTTATTTTAAACCAGAATATCATGTAACTGTGTAAGAATAAATTCTAGCGACAAGGTTGACGACCATCCCTGGGATCTGATTGTCAAGCAGTAGAATCAACTACAATGTAGCTACGTTCCTTGTGACCTAAACTAATGGCTATAACACGAAGTAAGGACACATATATTTAACACTTTGATCGATGTAGAAAGTCAAATAAACATTTATACTGTTCCAACTAGTCATTTCGTCCACTAAAGACTTGTCAGTGGTATTATAAAAGGTCATAATAATGAAGATCAATGCCTGAAGTGTTCCGAAACATTTGCAGAAATACAGTAAAAGACAATGTCTTTACAAAAGCCTTTACAATAATACCAATTTGAAACTAATGGTTACAACAGGTAAATATTTAAAATGTATTTCCTTGATTTAAATACAAGAAATTAGCTAAATAAAATCTATATTTTTAAATCATTTGGGGTTTATACTGCTTTTCATTCTAGATCTCAATTACAACCATATGCTTTTATAAATGTAAGTATTCCATTGTCATGAGAAGCAGATGCATACCATGAAAATAATCCCATAAAGGTACGCTCTTTATGCCTATTTAAGATAATTTTTGTTTGTTTGTTTGGGTTTACCGGCCCATCGACGGCTGTGGTCATTTATGGCCATGGTGATTTATTTATTTATTTTGTTTAGTAGAGAAAACCAATCAAATACAGGAAGTAACCCAAGTTATATCTTTGATACTCTAGTATGAGACACATGTAGACAGTATCTTTGACACTCTAGTATGAGACACATGTAGACAGTATCTTTGGCTCTCTAGTATGAGACACATGTAGACAGTATCTTTGAAAAGGAGACACTCCACATCGACATTTATAGTGGTACCATTAACAACAGAATCATCACAGAGCAAGGGTGCTGCACCACAGCTAAACCCGCACCAGTCTAAAACTGGGAAACAAATGCACGATGTTCATTTTTTTAATTATCTTATAACACTCCAAAAAAGTATATTCAAATACAGGTACACATACATAGACATACTTTATGTATCGGCTGATTTTCTACACCAGGTTCAAAAGTTTATGGTACGAACTGATGGTACACAATGGTTATCATACACACATTCATATACTGAAACACATCTGTTTTTGAAACACTTATGATGATTGTACGCAACGGTTCCGTTCATGTACCTTGGAGAATATATGTGAATGGAACTGTGTTGCAAACCATCATAAACGTTAAAAAGATAACCTAATCCTTATATTTGCTTTTGAAACAGGATAGAAATGGTACGTAATCATTCTGTATGGTTCTTTTCGGTTCAGGATACATCTTTAATAAATTGTCGTCCAAAACGACGAAACAGCTATTTTTCAGGAGCAAGGTCGTGTTTCTATGGTAACGAGTTCAGCTACGCGATAAACGGCAAGCTGACACCATTCAGGAATTTGTTTAACAGTATAACATAATTACAATAAAAGCCCATGCATTATACGATATTTATTTTAAGTACATAACATTATACATTGTCTATTATATACATATTACAAAAGCACATAACAGCATGCATACATTTACATCAACTTTCAGGCGAAACGTTAGATAATTTTACAAGTTTACATTATAACTATATTACCTTCACGTTATGTTTTGCGAGATTAGATTGTGCCTTACCTCTATCGTGCTGAAATTCGGCGAAGTTTCCTACATGGTGTATAAAATAAAATAAAATAAAGTTAAAACATAATCAAATTATAAACATTATGATTGTTCTATGTTTCAACTATTTGAGACGATTGTAAAACAGATCCCTTGCTGTCTATAAAGTTACCATCCAAAATCCAAAATCTTGCTTCCGGAGTTTTTGTTTGCCTCCCTTACAACTGAAATTATTAAGAAAACAGCTTCAGTTAAATGGATAATAATATTATATCAAAACGAAAATACAACGTATCTGGAAACTCGTGATAAAGGACTGTAAGTGAAACCAGGTAGAATAATAAAACGAGACATATTCTGACGAAATCGTAATTGCTCAAGTATTTCATAGATAAAGTATCTTTCAGATATGTTTGATAGTAATTATGTAGCTGAGCTGGATTATTCACTCGGGAGTTTTTTTGTGATTAAAATGCTAAAACCATTGTACGTCGCAACTGTCAGGCTATAAGTGAAACAAATCTACCAAATCATCAGCCCACAACAACAAAACTCACTAGACCTTATAAATGATGACCTGACTATAAATGGAAAAGAAAACAAATATGTACAACAAACGTCAGCCCTAGGAACAAAAATCACTATACGTAATAAAAGATCAGGCTTTTTAAATAAGAAAAAACAGATATATATGTAAAAAACGTCAGCAAAAAGGAACAAAAAACTCCTTAACTTTAAGTGGACACGAGAAGGCACCAACAGAAATCGTGGGGATATCACAGGGAAGGAAACATATAAAATATTTCCTTACTTTTTAATATAATAGATACACCTCCTCTCTACGATGAGAAACGTAATGACGTCGATTGAGAAACTACACATTGTATTTGCATACAAATGATTTTTCCGTTTTCTTTTTGCAAAAGATGAGTTCAAAGACGGTTAAATATCGACTATTTGGAATTTTTTTTCTTATTAAGTTTATGTAAACTTTTTTTCCATTGACGTAAAAGTTAATTGCCACAACATAAGAACACAAATGTAATAGGATGGAAATGTTTCCGTTGAGGCCGACTAAAATTTGTGTTGTTATATTTGCAATATATACGATTTCTCAGAATTACCACCCTTAATTATATAAAATGCATGTTACAGATTGATTACATACACAGTTTCTAATTTATATCTTAAAGAACTCCACGTTTGAAAACCGTTGTACCACTGAAATACGGACTTGACCCCTGACCCTATTACGTCAGATAACAACGATTGATTTAGGTTGTACCAAGGAAGGGCAGATAATTTCTCCATAGTTCCGTAAATTATTAGTAATTGTTCCACATTCTTACTC